AGAAATTGTGAAATGGTGACATTCTAMCTACCATTCCTTCTGCGAATTTATTAGCATCCATTCTTGGTCACCTTGGGTAAAATTCATATGCCCTCTCTGATTTTCAGTTTTCTAATGAAGAGTTGATTCCTAGCACTCTGCAAAGGTGACCAATGCATTTTTATTTATTTTTTCTTTTCTTTTTTTTTTTAATTAGATGACAATACAATGACAATACAATGATTTTGACATATCATACATTTGAATCAAATGGGGTATAATTTCTCATTTTTCTGAGTGTACAGGTTGCAGAATCACATTGGTTATWCAGACATGTATATAATACAGCAATACTAGTGTCTATTTTATTCTTCTGCCCTTCCTATCCCCCTTCCCCGCCCCTCCCCTCCCATCACTTGCCAATGCATTTTTAAATGATYACAAATATTAAAATGGTGAAATGCTTAACATGTTCTAATCCTTTGCAGTGACTATTATTTTGGATATGTGAATTTTTCCATCCCTTGCATGTAAGAGCTTCTTTAAGTTGGGTTCTGACTCCTTTATCATGACCCTAGAATCCCTTCCTTGTCTTATGTCAGGAAGAAAGGTTTCGGGAGAGGCTCCCATACTTCCTGACCCAGGCCTGTAAACCTATAGTAAGTGATTCTCTTAAAGAGCCCAGGTACCTATGAGTTGAGAGATGTCCCCAGCCTGTGGCACTGCTGGGAGGCGATGAACTTTAGGAGGTGAGGCCTAGTGGGGGGGGGCGTGTCCTTGAAAGAGATATTGGGATCCCAGCCCTTTCCTGCATTTCTTTTGTTTGCTTCCTGCTATCAGGTGAGCAGCTTCCTCTCCCCATGTGCCCCCACCATGATGAAAGGCGCTTCCACAGACCCCAAAACAATGGAGCCAGCCAACCATGGACCGGAACCTCCATGAGCCCAAATAAACCTTTTCTCCTTATGAGCTATCATCTCAGCCATTCTGTCCAGTTAACAGAAAGCTGGCTAGCACATACCTCCAGACTGCGGTGATGATGGAGAGAGAGTCATGCATCTGTTATTTTGACCAAATGATCTCTAGGGGTTTTTCTTTTTCATTTTTTTTTACATAATTGAACATATATAATTTGTGTTTGTCATGTAACTTCCTCTTTGTTACATACGCCTTGAAGCATTATTTAATGTTCTTCCAAAGTATATTTTAAGGGCTTTATTGTTATTCCATTGTGTGGAAAAAWTTGTAGTCTTTTCAGAATTTTTCCTCATTTTCTTCACTTTAAGTACTACTTTGGTAAACAAACTCTCTCAATATCTGTTTGATGCATCTCTGACTTATTTCCATTTGATCGACAGATTCAAACTCTAGACAAAAGACTATGGTAATTTCTAACCAATGACGTGATTTCTGAGTTGCTTTTTAAAGTATTGTGCCAATGACAATGCTGACAAACTAATAATACTCAACACTAGAYAAAGTGTGTCAATTCAACACACTTCATCTGGTGTTGAGTATTATTARTTTAAATCCTTCCCTCTTTATATACATATATTTATACATATTATAAAAATATATACCTATACATAAAATATTTATTTGATTGTTTTATTAGCTTGCAGTTCTTGTGTTTGTATTTAGTCGAACTTTTTGTATGTTTATTTCCCTCTCACATTTCCTCTTCTGTGAATGGGCTGTCCTTTATATACATTCTTTTATACAGTGTATGATTATCTTATCAATTTGAAATTCTTTACACATAAGGAAAATTTACTAACATGTRCTAGAACTGCAAATAGTTCCCTATCTTGTGATATTCTTTACATTTTACTTAATCTGAAATTCATAAGTTTTACATTTACACTAAATAAAATGCATTGATCGTTTCCTTTGTGATTTTTTTTTTCCATTACTTTCGTTTGGGTAAAACTTTCTCATCTCAATGGTCAAATATTCACATTTATTTTATTTTAGGTTTCCTATGCTTTCACTTTTCAAATTCAGATTTGCAGTTTATTTTAATGCACATAAAATGTGTTGTTCTCTAACAGCCAATTTTCCCAAGTGAATTTAATGAATACTCTAGCCATTCTCTTTGATATTTCCTTTATTGCATATTAGAGTCATACAAAGATATGTGTATATAGTCATATCTATTTCTGGGATATTTATTTTGATCTATTTATSCATTTTATATGAATTGGTTAAAGTATAGTAGCTTTATTGTACATTCCAACATAGGACAAGCCCTTGAACATCTCATARTAAGGGAAACCTAACATCATCCTTCAAAACATTTCAAAATGGCACTTGCAGACCTCATGGGACCTAAGAGGGATTCTGTTGCCACAACAAGCATTTTAAACCCATTTGGCTAAGTTGRCTATTTTGCGATAGTCACAACAGTTAAACCACTACAGTGAAAGAATAAAAATACTAAAAAAA